GCAGCGGCCAGGACCGTTGGGGGCGGGGGGCCTTCGCGGGGCTTCCTCGCACTCCCGCCGGCCATGCAGGTCCAGCACTGGGCCCCCAACACTTCCGGTGATGTCAGGGGGTGTGGCATATGCTAATGAGTTATGCTAATGAGTTCCCCTAGCTCTTTTTCTGTGAAACGATCCCTGATTAGTCGTGTGTTTGTGGTCACAGAAATGATTAGCAAATCCTCTTCTGGCACTTACAAATCACATCCACCACTTTTCTTGTCCCAACCAACTCACAGCAACCCCATGATGGTCCATCTTTTTGGGTTTTCAAGGCAAGAGAAGCACAGAGGTGGTGTGCCATTGCATTCCTCTGTGTAGCAGCCCCCATCTTCCTTGGTGGTCTCCCATCCAACTATTGTCCCTGCTTAGCTTTCGAGCCCTGACTGTATCTTGCTAGGCTCAGCTGTTAGGACTGCCACACCCAGGACTTACTTCTGCAAATTCCATTCTACACATTGGAAGAATACTATGGTTACATGCTCCCCATTTCCTGTTTTATTAATCATTTTAAACTTTTTTATTAATAATTTTTAACATGCTCCCCATTTCCTCACGCAGAACTGGACCTTGGTTTGGTTTTCTATGGAGATGAGAACACTGGTCACTTTTTCCATATGGGTTATTTGCTCTGGATTCAATGCTGTCGGGAAATGGGTTTCTTATCCCCCTCTCCCCAAATTCCCGCACCTCTTGGGTTTTCCACAGCTTTTCTCCCATTTCCCCAAACCTGCTTTGCTGCAAAGTTTTGGAAAGATCTCAGCAAAGCCTGGATGGCAGCTCTGTGGGTGGGAAAGTTTGGGTTTTGCGTCTGCCTCTTCACCCCCTGCTGATTCAAAGTGCCTTTTCCTTCATATGGAGCTGGTTAAAGTGGTTAAGACGCTGAACTGCAGGCTGTGGAAGGTCGGTAGTTCAGCAGTTCGAGACCCAGGGTGCCGCATGACGGAGTGAGCTCCCGTCTCTAGTTCCAGCTCCTGCCAACCTAGCAGTTAGTTCGAAAGCAAGAAATTGCAAGTAGATAAATAGGTACCACTTCGGTGGGAAGGTAACAGCGTTCCGTGCGCCTTGGTGTTTAGTCATGCCGGCCACATGACCACGGAAATGTCTTCGGACAGCGCTGGCTCTTCGGCTTTGAAACGGAGATGAGCACTGCAACCCTAGAGTCGGATTCGACTGGCTTTCGAGCAAGGGAACCTTTACCTTTACCTTCCTTCTCATACAAACCCCTGCCCTCTTCGACCTCATAAGAACATGAGAAGAGCCCAGCATCCTGTCTCACACAGTGGCCAACCAGTTCCTGTGGAGGGCCAACTGCAGGGCATAGAGGCTGAGGCCTTCCTCTGATGTTGCCTCCTGGCTCTGAGATTCAGAGGCTTAGCGCTTTTGAACATTGAGGTTTCCCTCAGCCACCATGACTAGTAGCCATTGATAGACTTATCCTCCATGAATCTATCTAATCCCGTTTTAAAGCTGTTTATTCCTTCCATGACTATTTGAAACCATAGCTAGCAAAAGACCATCTCAAAACAATGATCCCCCAGGGAGGAAACCTCTGTCATTCTTTCAGGTCCGGATTGTACTCACTCCAGGCCAATTTTTAAAAGACAACACAAATACCAGATGCTTTCTCTGTTTAACAGTTTAATAAAGAGAAAATGGACGCGACAACCAAGAAAAATTCATAGTTGGAGTGGGTAGGGGAGTCAAGGAAGATGATGAGGTGATTAGACAAATCCAGTGAGTAATAGCTTTTAGCTAGGATGGCTCAATGGAACCTCCATGTTCAGAAGCAGTTCACCTCTGAATAGCACTTGCTGAGGGACAACAATATAGGGAGGCTCTGGCTGGAGTAGTGGTGTCTCCTTCACCGGTGAGTAGCCATAGCCATCTCAACCCGTTTGGTGCCATGAAGAGCAGAAGCTTTCCTGGTGGTTTTCAACCCCAACCCCTGTCATTTTGGTAATGAAGGGTTGTCTTTCTGCAGCCATTTCTTGGCATGATCTGATACACTGATGTCACAAGATCCTGTTATGAACAGCCAATAGTAGCTGGCCATATTTGCATATAGATGGGGGAAACGTGCTTCCAGGGTCCAAATTTAAGGGAAGAGGCAAGCAAAGGAGTCCCAGAGAAACAGAGTCTGTGTGAATTCTCTCCGCAATGATGTGGGTTCCTTTGGTTCTTTTCCTGGGGGCGTTTTTCTCAGGTGAGGAAACACCAGTGGCTGAAAGTAGAAGAACAAATACTAATCCAGGCTGACAGTCACATGATCAATTATCTTGTTGCAGGTTCCAGGTCCCAGCTGGTGCTGACCCAACCCTCCTCGATGGCAGAGTCTCTGGGATCAACCGTTAGGATCTCTTGCGCTTTGAACAGCGGCTACAGCTTGAGCAATCAATGGGTCCGCTGGTATCAGCAGCAGTCTGGGGGTGTCCCACGGTTTCTATACCACTATTACAGCAGCAGTGACCAAGGCAGGGGCTCAGGGGTCCCCGAGAGATTCACCGTCTCCCCTGACACCTCCAGCAACCTCTGGCATTTAGTGATCACGGGTGTCCAAGTCGAAGATGATGCTGATTATTATTGCAATACATGGGATGAGAAGCTAAGTGCACATCACCGTGGTTTTTTCTCAGGGGGAACTGAAACAAAAACCTCTGGTGGGTGACACAGGATCGGGCATCTGCTGATCTGATATGAAGTGGCAAAATGTCAGAGAGGAAAGCATACACAACTGGCTCTTGAATGCATTTATAAAGCACTGCCAATGCAGTTTTCACTCTGCGTTACAAACTAAACGCATTATTATCAGGGGGCATTTCCTGCAGGAGCGCACAGAAGCGGAGCTCCGGCAGTAAAGAGCCCAGGGGGCGGGCACATGCAACAAGCCCCGCCCCATGCTCCCAGCAGCCCTCAGTCAGAGCAAGAAGCAGCCAAGTAAGCTGCAGAGCCCCCCCCCCGGGCCCAAAACAGTCCAGTGGCACCTTTAAGACCAGGTTTTATTCAGGTACAAGCTCTTCCTCCTCTGTGAGGACAGATCTACACGTCCCCCCCCCAATAGCTAGCAATCCAAAACAGTCCAGTGCAGCCTGAGTGGTGGGTGTTGCCTTCTGACACACGTCCGGTGATGTCAGGGGGTGTGGCATGTGCAAATCAGTTATGCTAATGAGTTATGCTAATGAGCTCCTGCACCTCTTTTTCTACGAAGTGACCCCTGATTATTATCAATGGGCAGGGTGCTTTACAGGGTAATTTATTTGGAAGAAAAAAGTTCCAGGGCTGTTTCTACATTTCCTGAGTCTTCAATAGAGGGGGAAAGGGCACCCCTGGTTCTGGATGTCCAGTATTTGTTTCTTCCTCCTCATGTGGAGGAGCTAAGAGCATTTTAACAATGTCCAGTATTTGTTTCTTCCTCCTCATATGGAGGAGCTATTTTAATAGTGTGGCATAGCCTCATTTTACATCTTCTAAGGGAGCACAATGAAGATGTGGGGGAGGAGGTGGGGGGATTGCATGGCAGGTCCGGGGTTTCCAGTTGTGCGGATAGGATCTCTTGAAACAAATATCCAGTGGACATGCATGGGGAAAAAAAAAGAGTTTGATCACCAAAAAGTTTGATCACCAAAGCCATGTGGGATGAGGGCTGCAGTAAAGGAGGGAGAATTGGGTGAGAAGAAGCAAAAAATCTGGTTGGGACCCATCCAGGGACTGAAGTCCCAGACAATGTTCCCTCTAAGCTGTGGAGTCTTGTGAGCAAAAATTCCACTTTGTGAGCTCCTGGCACTAAAGTTGCGAGCGAGCAATTTGGCTACTGCATAAATTCATTTGCTCTGGAGCCAACCTTCCTGAGCTAAGACAGAAAATGTGTGAGCTGGAGGCTAAAAAACCGTGAGCTAGCTCACACTAACTCAGTTTAGAGGGAACACTGGTCCCAGACCATTTCAGGGGTCATGGTTAGAGAATACATTTATCTCTGACCATTACAGAGGCCCTGTCAGAAGATGAAACTGATTAGGAGGATTGCGTTGTGTGGACAGCCAGTTGGAGAAGAGGAATAAACCCTCTCCGCCACGCTTTGTCACAGCATGGTAGCTTCATTTCACATCTGCTAAGGGGGTACAAGGAATATACAGGGGGGGATTGCAGGATAGGTCCGGGGTTTCCAGTTGTGCTGATAGAATCTCTCTAAACAAGTATCCAATGAACATGTACAGTCAGGGGGACAGAGTTTGATCACCAAAAAGACTGTGTTGGGGATGATGGGACTTTGAAGGACGAAAGCCACAAGGGAAGGGGGCTGCAGTATTGGGCAAGATGGAGTGAAAAAGCTGACTGGATCCATCCCCATGATTGACATTCCAGATGATTTCAAGGGTCAAGATGGGATAACACAGTGTCTCTGACCATTGCAGAGGCCCTGTCAGAAGAAGAAAATGATCAGGATTGTATTGTGTGGACAGCCAGATGGAGAAGGGGAATAAACTCTCTCTACTTCTCTTCACTCTGTGGTCGAATCTGCATTTGCATTTTTAAATCAGTTTCGTGCTGCTGTGACGCCGTCTTTCTCTATGCTTGTTTGAAAGTTGTTTGGAGAAGATTCATTTAAAACAGTGTGGAGGCGCAATGACAGGGGAGCTGCCACGAGAGGGTGATAAACATATGCAGATGTGCAAAAGTATGCTGGCACTGCTGAGTTGTGAAAACGAAAGCAAATGTAGACAGCTTTTTTGAAGATGGAGTCAGAAGGCTGGGACACCGGTGGGAAAGACAAATGAAGATTCAACCATTTGTGTGTTAACAGAGCTGAGTTGCATATATTGGCCATTGTTCCTAGGATAGTGACTGATTCAATGGAACCTCCATGTTCAGAGGCAATGTACCTGTGACCAGCAGTAGCTGGAGGCAAAGGCAGGAGGAGGCTGTGCTCTGCTTGTAGGCCTTCTCAGGCCAGCTGTTTGGCCACTGTGAGATCCTGGAGGAGTTGAACCATTGATCTGATCCAGCAGGGCTCTTCTCTCCCACCTGCTGCTGTTGATAATGTGGTGTTGCTACCCCCTCCCCTGACATGTGATAGATTTTGGATGTGACACAGCTGGCCATTTCACCACATACTGCACAACAGAGACGCAGGGTGACTTACATGACCAAGTGATCCCGGGGGTGAGAGAACTTGCCCCTGGTTGTTTTTCTATTCCACTTCTGCCTCTTCAGGTCTGCTTCTGAATGGCATGAAAGCCATGGAATGATCTTCCTGCAGACCCTCTGGGTCTTGTCTAGTTCTCACTTAGGTCCTTTTGTCCCAAAGCCCTCAGTAATCAGGCAGGAGCTGAACGGTGCAGTGTTGGGTAGAAGAACGCAAGATGACGAATCTGCAGTGAAAACATAATACATACAGAATCCAATATTTAAAATTGGTGAAAAGGGGACAGCCTTGGCAATGCTCTCCTCTAGACCATGTTGTTGTTGTTCAGTCGCACAGTCGAGTCCGACTCATCGCGACCCCATGGACCAGCTCCCGCCAGGCCTTCCGGTCCTTTGCCGTCCTCTGAAGTTGGCTCAACTTCATGTTCGTTGCATCGATGACACTGTCTGACCATCTCATCCTTTGCCATCCCCGTCTTCTTTGACCTTCAATCTTTCCCAGCATCAGGGTCTTCTCCAGGGAGTGCTCCCTTCTCATTGGGTGGCCAAAGTATTTGAGCTTCAGTTTCATTATCTGGCCTTCCAGGGAACAGTCAGGGTTGATTTCTTTTAGGATTGACTGATTTGAGCTTCTTGCAGTCCCAGGGACTCTCAAGTCTAGACCACGACAGGTCCCTTAATTTGGAAGGTGCCTCCAGACAAGACTGGCCTCAGCCTGCCCTGAGGTGGGTCAGCTGCTGGGGCCCAGGGCTTCTGGTGAGGCCCACTGCCACTGACCACGCGCCTCCCCTTCTGCCCACCTCTGGGGATGCCAGCCTCCAGGTGGGACCTGGGGATCCCCTGGAATTACAGCTCATCTCCAGAACGACAGAGCTCAGGAGGAAATGGATGCTTTGGAGGATGGCGACTTGGCCTTGTACCTCACTGAGGTCCCTGTCCTCATCAGGCTCCATTCCCAAATCTTGAGGAGTTTCCCAACTTGGATCTGGATCTTCCACCCCCCCACCCCCCTCTGGTGGCTGGGGAACCTGGCAACCTTACCCCCTCCCCTTCCCCCACCAGCCCCCAGCTGTCTGCACTGTGCAGCACCACCAGGAAACGGGCCTGTGGAAGCTGCAGGCATCCCTGAATGCGGATGGTTAGAGGGATCGTGAACGGGTGGGGGGCGTATGCACAGGCATGTGGGTCAGTGGGTGGGAAAGGAAGCATTTATTTTATTTCCTTCGATTTGTATACCGCTCACCCCCTAAGGGCTCTGAGCGGTTTACATTATACACTTAATACAGCTCCTACCTAAGGCCACATACATACAATGGGGAAGTGACTAACCTAACAGGCACCCTATAGCGGAGTCTTTGTTGTAGTGGTCTTTCTGCGGGAGGTCTTTTTTCCAGTCCGGCGACGACGTCTTCCTGGCGCAGGTCTTCCTTCGGTCGTCGCGACTCCTCCCGGGCCTGGGCCAAGTGCACGTCAGCGCGTGCTTTCACAGCCGGCCTCTGTCCAATCGGCTCCGGCCTGCTGCGTCGCCCCGCCTCCGCACTCCGCCGGCCCAGCCTTCGCTCGCTCGCCTCGCCAACTGCCGCCACGTTCTTCGCCACCGCTCCGCCACTCACGCTACCACCACGCCACGAAGGACGGGTGCCCCCCCCCCGCTCTAAGAGCAGGTACCCATTTGTCTACTTGCCCTTTAACGGGCTTTTGAGCCGCTGGGTAGGCGGGACTGGTGGTAGGCAGAGGAGGGGAAGAGGGCCCTGGGCCTCCTCTGCTCAGGCCCCCCCAAAATCTGGAAGTGGCCCTCCCTCAGGCATTCTCTCGGTTGCTTCAGCAGGCAGCCATGACCACCCTTCTGCAACTGGATCCAGTTAGGGGAAAATGCCTGACAGGCATGGGGAAGGTGACCCTAGCCACTGTCACGTAGGGCAGGTGTGTTTGTGTGTGAGAGCGAAGGGCTCTGCGCATACTTACACAGTCAGGGCATACATGGGAGGAGGCCAGGATCAGACCTTCGTGCCCCTGCTCTGCCCCTGCTTCCTACACATGTTTGGCACACTGTTTCAGCAAGAGCGCACAAACCGTTCTCATTTATACACCTTGAAACCAGCCTGCATTCTTTGCGCTTCACCTGCTGCTGTTTCCTCCCAAGGGAAACTAGGTCTTTATTCTCCAAGGACCTTGAAGCTCTGCTGAGAGAAGTGAAAGAAAAGTCTTAACAACCTGCAGTTAACTGAAGGAGACGTGTCTAACTGTTGCCACGAGGTGGCAGCATTGTATTCTTTATATGGGAAGAGAACTCTGGTTGCCAAAAACCATCGTTTCCCTGAAGAGCATTGGGCTGCCCCGGAGTCTTTAAATGCAGACAATCAACGTTTTTCTTTTTTTGATGAAGCTCCATCCTGAGGCTCTAACTAATTTAATAGGAAAACATCCACTTTCTGTATGTCTTCTATGCCAGAAGAACAACTGCCTGTTGACTTGGTACTTCCCTTTGGAGATGCAGGAGTTCTGCCAGAAGAAAAAAAAAAGATGGCAAGCCTTTTGGAAATAAAACTGTAAGACAGGGGAAAAAACCTCTGCACATGTTCAGAGGCACTTGACTACTAGCCCTAAGCTCTATACCACGGTAACAAAGAAGTACCTCTGAACACAGCATACTCGGAAAACCTCTGCTACACCAATATTTAGCCACACATTTGGATATTTCCAAAGCGCAGGGTTGATGTTGACAAGGATTTATAGCCACAGGGCCTAGCCTTTCTGAAATTAAACACTGTTTAGCCATAGAACATTTCTGGAAGTGATGTCATCCTATGATGTCATATCTTCCTGTCATGAACAGCAAATAGTAGCAGGCCATCTTTGCATAAAGGTCATGGTGGGGAGGATTTGCTTCCCTGGGAAGTACATTTAAGAGAACTGCTGAGCAAAGAAATCCCAGTGGAAAAGGGGGAGGGAATTCTCTTGACCATGATGTGGGTTCCTTTGGTTTTCTTCCTGGGGACGTTTGTCTCAGGTGAGGCAACATCAAGTGGTTGCTAATTTTTTGTTTTTTGAAGGAAACGTAAATGTTGATCCAGGTTGACAGTAACATTGCCTGTTATCTGATTGCAGGTTCCAGCTCCCAACTTGTGGTGACTCAACCACCCTCCATGGCAAAAGCTCCAGGCTCAACGGTCACGATCCCTTGCGCTCTCAGCAGCGGATACAGCATCAGCGGAAAGCGGGGCCAGTGGTTCCAGCAGAAATCAGGGGGTGCTCCACTGTTTCTCTACCACTATCACACCAGCAGTGACCAAGGCAGGGGCTCAGGGATCCCCGATAGATTCAGTGTCTCCCCGGACACTTCCAACACCCTCTGGAATTTGGTCATCACAGGACTCCAAGCTGAAGACGATGCGGACTATTACTGCCTTGCATGGGATGAGAAGCTTAGCTCGTATCACTGTGATTCGTTCCCACGGGGAACTGAGACAAAAAAACCCTGATGCTGGTGTGGGCACAGCAACCTGGTGGGGTGTGACAGAAAAGGGAGGGAGGGAAGGTTTGCCTCCTAGAAGAAGAAGAAGAAGAAGAAGAGGAGGAAGAGGAAGAGGAAGAGGAAGAGGAAGGAAGAAGAGGAAGAGGAAGGAAGAAGAAGAAGAGGAAGAGGAGGAGGAGGAGGAGATTGGATTTATACCCCGTCCTTCACTACCCAAAGGAGTCTCAGAGCGGCTTACAAACTCCTTTTCCCTCCCCCTCCCCACAACAGACACCCTGTGAGGTAGGTGAGGCTGAGAGAGCTCTGACAGAAACTGCTCTTTTTCAAGAACAGCTGTTATCAGAACCACGGCTTGCCCAAGGTCATCCAGCCAGGTGCAAGTGGAAGAGTGGGGAATCAAACCCGGTTCTCCCAGATTAGAGTCTGCGCACTTAACCACTACACCAAACTGGCTCCTAATTGCTACGGCTCCTCACTAACACAATCCCATCAACACTTGAGCGCTTGGAGCACCCTTAAAAGTACAATATAACCATATTGTCATTAAATGTTTTTATGAATCAGTCATTGATGGAATAACATAAAGGAAATAGGTGTCTGCCCCCAAATAGGCGTGCAATTAAAATGCTCTTTTCATTGTCTACAGAGGGGGAACTGTATGTGCTATCGCTGGACAAAGGCTGTTCACTTTCCCTCCCCTCTGGAAAGGTTTACACACCATATTCGTGTGTGTGTGTGTGTGTGTGAGTGAGTGAAGTGCTGTCAAGTCACAGCTGATTCATGGCGGCCCCATCAGATTTTCAAGGCAAACAATTAAGCGGAGTGGTTTCCCATTGCCTTCCTCTGCAACATCTTCCCTGGTGGCTTCCCATCCAAGTAGCAACCCAGTTTAGCTTCCAGGATCTGACGAGATCGGGCTATACTGCTCCACTCCACATCCCCACAGTATTCATAGGTAAAGGTAAAGGTTCCCTTGCTCGAAAGCCAGTCGAATCCGACTCTAGGGTTGCGGTGCTCATCTCCGTTTCAAAGCCGAAGAGCCAGCGCTGTCCGAAGACGTTTCCGTGGTCATGTGGCCAGCATGACTAAACACCAAGGCTCACGGAACACAGTATTCATAGTGCAGCTTAAAAAGATTTCCTTGAGGCATCAGTCCCGCTGCATTAACTTCTGATTATTGGGCATTTATGGAAGAGAAGATGGGACTTTCCAAAACAGGTGGAAATTTTTTTATGAGTGGATGGACTCACAGGCATAGAAAGTTCAATTTTGATATAGTTGGAGAGGGATCCTATTTTTATTTAATGTCTATATGTATATGTAGGATGGCGGTGGGTTGTTGAAGGTAAAACAACAAAATTTTTTTTAAAACCCTTCTGATTATTGGGCAGTTGTGCGGAGGAGAGGCTTTTATCATGCAAATGGGCATTTTGGGCCATTTACTTGTTTTATATTCATGTTATGAAATGATTGAACTACAAGACATTTCAGTTTTTTATGGAAGCAGGCCATCTTTCATCTAACCCTGTTCCTGATTCCTTTGGACCATTCTGGGGAGGGGTATGGGGATGTAGCGTTGGCCTGGAACTGGGAGACACAGGTTCGAATCATTACTCTCTGTCTCAGCCAAGCCAGCCTCATAGGGTTGTTGAGGGGACAAAATGGGAGAGAACTGTGCTTGTCCCCCCCCCCCAATTCTTTGGAGGAAGAGCAGATAAAAACCTGATGGGTAGGAGGCAAGAGCCAGCATATCGAACTGAGTCCAGACATGAACTGTCAGCTGTTGCAACCCGTTAACCTTCGACAATGTTCCATCCTAACTTAGAAATCTGGTCTTGATTTTGTGATGACTGTGGTTTTGCGATGATGCTTCTTTGTCTCTGTTAGGCAGGACTTAATGTCTAAAATGAGAAAAATGAGAAAACAAGTGTGCAGAAGTGCATGCTTGGGTATATTGTATATTCCTGTACCTCCATATGTACTCAAAGGGAAGACAGTACTGAAAGTACAATGGCTCTATCCAAAAATATTACCTTAAAAAAAACCTATTGGACATAACTATAACTTGTATCTCAATTTAAGATTAACTGATCTTGCATGTGAGCAAATACTGTAACTCCTGGGGCTGAAAATGCATTCCCTGGCTGAGTTTTGGGTCCTGCCTCTTTCCCACTGGTTGTTCTCTCACCGGACCTGTGCCAGGGAACAGTTCTTAATGAGCCCCTCATTTGCATGGAGGGGGTGATCTCTTGCCCTTGGGGGTTTAAGAGAGACTGGGAGGGTGCCTGTCAGAGATCCCCTTGATCGGCTCATCAGTGTTCACTGCAATGGCGCAGGTCCTGCTTCTTCTTACAATCTTGGTCTGTATTGGTAAGAACAACTCCTGTGATGAATCAAATAAAATGTACCTGGAGGAGACCAAGAAGTACGTCATACTCTTAACTGCCGGCTGTGCCAATGTTTGACATTGCCAGTTTTTTAAATCAATGGAACACCCTGTGCTTTGTTTCAGGCCCAAGTTTCCAGCAACTGCAGTCCCTGAAGCCTTCGGAAACCATTTCTCCTGGGGGGACCATCACCTTGTCTTGCAGATTTAGCAGTGGAACCATCTCTGATGGCAATTATCCCCGTTGGGTCCAACAGATCCCAGGGACAGCTCCAAGAGCTCTTATATGGAGCACCAGCACCAGACTACCTGGCATCCCAGACCGTTTTAGTGGGTCGAGGTCCGGAAACACGATGTCCCTGACAATCTCGGGGGTCCTGGTGGAAGATGAAGCTCATTATTACTGTGCTGTGTGGACTGGGAATGGGTGACACAGCCATGCATTCTGATGGGGAAGTGAGACAAAAACCCTCCAGTGTTTCCTTCACTTTCCTTGAACTTTAAAAGAAGCCAAACCACTTATATTATCTTCTGTTCCCCATGAGACCTCAAGTTCAGGCTGAGAGACAGGCAGGGCCACAGATAGTGGATTTTCCAAGAAATATTAGGAAAACCACCATTAATTCTTTCCCTGGAATTCTGAATGTGGAATTTTACCTTAGCGTTAAAAATATCTTCACTGGAATCTCTTCACTGTTTTGGTTTTGGCAGGAATCTCTTCACTGTTTTGGTTTTGGCAGGCAAGTGACCCGAAATGTCTTAACTTGTCAGTGCCAAATACGTTTGGAAGCCCTGTGTCAAATGTTCAGATGTTAAATAAGCTTGTTGAATTAGCAGTCAAAAATGTAGTCAAACATTATTACGTGTCACGTATCAAATGATGTTGAATATCAACTGTGAATTGTCACGGTCCAAAATAAAATATCATCCATGTCAAATGTCAAATGGAGGTCCGATATTAAAAGAAAACTCTTGCAGTCTCCATGGGCTCCTGAGCAGCGTGGAAGTTTAGGGGCAGAGCTGTAGGGTGTAGCTTCTGTTTAGTGACAGAGCCCTGAAGGCTCATAGGGGACCTTCATAATGCCCATTTCATCTACAGCAACAGCAGATGGAGTGGAGGGAAGCAAACACTCCTTTGGCTTACCTGAGCAGAAGAATGGCCTGTTAAGGGCAACACCCACAGCTTCTGGTGAATACAGGCCCCGGTCACACAGCAAAGTTGCCGCGGGAGAGGCATGGATGGTGGGCGGATTATCCAGGCGCGATCACACCCCAACATCTGGGAAGTGGAGCGCACCCGTGGCTTACTGCCAACAATGCGCATTTAAAAACTAGTACCTCCAAGGTACTAGTAAACGTTTGCCACGGGCTGCCTCCAGACGCCCGTGGTGTGATTGCGCCGGTGCGCTGCATCCCCCTCCTGTCCCTCGTTTACTCGCTGGCGGCGAGGGAAGGACCCGTGGTGTGCCGTCGGCATGTCTGATTGCGTAATCGCGGATCAAACTACGCCGGGGCAATTAGCTACGCCTCCCCCCGCAATATCTGGCCCGTGTGGCCGGGGCCACAATAACCTTTTTGTCAAAGCACTGATCAATCATTCACTGATAAAGCCAGACAAATTCTCTCTATGAAGGCCTTTCCTTATCTGGCATGTTAGGGCAAGATGCCAGTTATCCCCCCCCCCCAATTCTGTTTTGAAAAAGTTCTTGTGGCTGAATAATTATGATAATGATAATAATCCTAGCTTTATTTTGCAAATTCTGTCTCATTCTCAGAAGAACAACCTCTTCCCTCATCTGCTTTTCCTGCCCATTCTGTCATTCACCCCTCTGCACAGCAGTCAGGAAGGGGTAGGTAATGGGGGGGATGAGAAATAAAGGTGGACCAAGTCAGCTATCTCGTCTCCCGATCCAGTAACAGGTTTCAAAGTAAAATAGGGATCTCCAGGCCGAGGCTTGACAACCCAAGACACTGAATTTACTTTGCAAGGCAGGACTCAGTGTCTAAAATGAGAGATCTAGAGGGTGAAGTTGTGGAGATGTTTGACATCCTGAACGGTTATCACTAAACCCTTACATGGCTACATGCGGTTATGTGGATGTGGAATGAGAGAGAACTCCTTTGCCACGTGTACAGAGCAAAACTCTTGTGTATTACAGATCTGAGTATTTCTGTACAGCCATATTTACTTGAAAGGAAGGTGATCCGGAATGTAAGATGACCCCTCCATCCCAAAAATGCTATACACAATTTTCTTCTTAGTACTGGACATATCTGTAACTTGTTTCAAATTTAAGACGACCCACTTTTTTTTTTATGGCAGACCTGAAAAAAGAGAGCACTTTTGCATGTGTAATCTCTAGGACTGGAAACACATTCCTAGGTGGAGTTCTGGCGCTCTCGATGAAGATGAATGCTTCTCCCACTCCCTAACCTGGGTTAATAGCTTTGTAACTGATGGTGTCTTCAGTTCTTCTGGAGCTGAGAGACAAGGCCTTTTGACCAATCGGGTCCAGCACCTTTCCCACTGGGTGTTCTCTAACCTGACCTGTTCCAGGAAACGATCCTCAATGAGCCCCTCATTTGCATGGAAGGGATCGTTTCTTGACCCTGGGGGTTTA